TCTGATTGAATCGATGCCTCCTCTTTGTAGTCATGCTGGATGATGTTCTCTAACACGTTTTGATAAGACCTGCATAGAACGACCTATGTACCTAGCTCCGCAAGAGCAAGTGAACTAATATATGCACATTGAAATGGTCATATGCAGAAGTCTGTCCTTCCCGTTGCTCCGAACTATTGGGCGGCTAGAGAGTATCACTCTTAGAGTTTCTGTCGGAGAAGTCTTCTTCAGGGAATCGGAGATTCTCCAAATGCATACGCTGCAACTATTTTCTAATCCTATGAAATCTTGTCTGTCTAAGCCCCTTGTAATCTATATTCCTACCTTCAAACTTTCATATCAAGTTGAAAATTATTATCACCTTCGTTACTATGTGGTGGAATTAAACAAATAATAATTGTATTCATGTGAACTAATCTATATAAATGCGATTGTACAGCTGCTTTTGAGAATGATAGTTGTAGAGGTTGGAATAATTTCTTTTGAGCACACAGCTCCGGCTTCTCGATGCATATTGCGAGGGCTTCTGCAGTACAAAGAAGTCGGAAACATACTGCTTTTGGTAGGTTTCTGTTGACTTTGTAAATCACTTTGAAAGAATCAGTTGAGATTTTGTGGAAGGTGTTGACCAGATGTTCAATAATGGCACTTCTGATTGAACCGGTGCCTCCTCTTTGCAGCCATGCTGGCTTAATGTTCTCTAACACGTTTTGAAAGGATGCGCATACAACGACCTATGTGGCTAGCTCCACATGAGCAAGTGAACTGGTATATGCACATTGAATTGGTCATATGCGAGAGTTTGTCCTTCGTGTTGTTTCGAAGTATTGGGCGGTTAGAGAATGTCACTCTTAGTGTTGCTGCAGGGAAGGTCTTCTTTAAAGAGCTAGATATTCTCCTCTTCAGGATATCAGCTGCTAAATCTCCCTTGAAATTCAGACTTAGATACAGCGTTTTCTTTGACGCTGAATCGTATTCTTCTCTTTTTGGTTTATGCCTCATGTTTTTTTCGACAAAACGCGTCGGATAGCCATTTTAAGCCAGGATATTTTCGAGGAAAGGAGCTCCTCTTCCATGCAATCGCTGCTGCAGACTTTTCTAATGCGATGGGTTAGTGCGCTGATGAGAGCTCGTTTTCAGCTTATCGGTTGGCCCTGCGTTTCTAAGCCTCTTGTAATTCATATCAAATTGAAAACAATTATCACCTTTTATTCGCCTGCAAAATTATTTCTCCAGTTATCAAATATTTTAATTTTTGCATACGTTGTAATTATTTTCTAATCCTATGAAATCTTGTCTGTCTAAGCCCCTTGTAATCTATACTATATGTACCTTCAAACTTTCATATCAAGTTGAAAATTATTATCAACTTCGTTACTATGTGGTAGAATTAAACAAATGAATAATATATTATTATACTATGTGTATACATAAATAATTAACTTCCTTAGTTTAACGTCTAATTGTCTAGTGTTATAGTGTATGCATAACTAACATGACAATCTTGTGTATGATGTTGGGGTTACCCGATTGGTTGTCACAATTTTTAGACGTTATATAAAACTTGTCTACTTGCGTCTGTCTGTATTGCTATCACATGATTGCGCATAAGCACCAGCATCATATGATGCTTTAACTACTACGACTATCGATATCAAGTGAATGCCTCCTGTGTCTCTATATGCATACCAGGACATCAGTATAGCCAAAGCAGGTCTTGCCTTGCTCTGTGTGTGTGTATATATGTAACTTCTGGGGTGATTTTTTGGATTTCTGGACTTCACACGACTTGAAAATGCGACGTGGTTTTGTTTCTTTCTTTCTTTTATTTTAATGATTAATTACATTGACGTGTCTTGCATGTGATTAACATAACATAAAAATGAAAAATGTACGTCACAACTTGAAAACAATCCATTAGTGTTGTTGTTGTCGTGTTGGTGGGGTTTTTTTCTTGTCTTTTCAGACAGTCTTTGTTGGTACAAAGAAGAAGGATGGAGTATTACGATGCATACGACAGAAGAAAGAAAAAAGTTACACGGTGAAAAGTTGTTTAGCGCGACAACATTAAGTAGCCACAGTCTGCAATGGTGTTGTTCAGTGGAATTTTCTCCCCTCTCTCTCTCTCTCTGACAGTATTATTAACATTATTATTATTATTATTCATTTTGTGACCTAATTTTGCTATTATTATTATTATTATTATTATTATTATTATTATTATTATTCATTTTATGACCTTATTTAGTACTTTTATCACTCTTGTTATTCTTTGTCTCGTATTTTGTGAACGTGTTTGGAATGTGCAGACTTTCAGGTTAGATAAGTTTTCTTTTTTCAAATATTACACAGTGATGCAGTAATTATTTAACGCTATGACGATTCACTGACTGAATGGTTCCAACGTAGAACTTTGCACCGATGTGCAGCAGTTCAAGTCGCCTCACTCTCTCCCATGTAGCACACAAAACAAGAGAAGATAGTAAAAAAAATTTTCAAAACAGAGATTTGAGGTAAAAAAGAATAGTAATATCGAAGAACAATATAGTTTTATTGGGTATTATAAGTCACAAGGAGTGGATGCATCTGCACCACAGCCAGCCATTGAGAAGCGATTTTCAGTCATACCACCAATTGTCTCCAGCCTTCAATGGTTTTTACTATCCCGAGGACCCCAACCAGGAAGCCAGTCTACACCTTCCTACATGTTGTGGATTTCACCGACTGATGAAGCCATGTTTTTTGCTTTAACCGTCACTGGCTTTCTCTTTTCCAACCTCATTCATCTTATATCGCTTAACATGGCCCGCCGAGGAAGGCGATGGCTAGACATGCATGCGTAACAAATATCCTAACCATCTCAATAGATGTAACGTCACAGCCTTATCTATTGATTTCCCCTCTTTACCTAGCACTCGACGGATGCCTAACATGAATATTGCTCACCCTATTATACCACTTCACACAGGAAATAGAATGCAGGTACCTATGATCAAAGAGACAGCTAGCTAAACTGGTTTATCATGGCTTCCACTCTTAATGGCCAGGTCTCATTCACAGCTGTATAGGAGGACAGAGCGGACTGCCGAGTAGAACACATGCCTTTTGGTCGACAGCCAGCCAGATATCACGTCTCCACCAGAGACGGCGTAAACTGGTAAATGCGAAACTAGCCTCTGTATCCGTTCTGAGACTTCGTTAGCGATAAACCGGCTGGCGCTGGCTGATGGAACTTCCCAAATAAGTGAAGTGGTCAACACGCTCCAACTATCACTTCACTCCCTATTTCTAAGCTAGGAGTCAATGACGATTCAACCAGAATTCTATATTTATTTATTTTTATTTTTGATTACAGTTTGATTCCACACAGTCCTTTTTGGTAGAGGTATGGAATTTTCAGCATGTGATATCGGTAGCCCGAATTTCGCGGGCCGACCATTGATATCAGGTGTGCGTCGGCAGGGGATCGAACCTCGAACCATGTGCATGGTCGGCGAGAGTCCTGACCACTGTGCCATCGATGCACACATACGTCCCAAAAGGGAATTTTCCATGAACCATGATTATAATCGGTGCTTCGGTGGCACAGCGGTTAGGATGCTCGCCGACCATTCACATGGTCTGGGGTTCGATCCCCGACCGACGGACGCACTCCTTTACCTCGATAAGCCAGAAATAATACTGGTAAAGAGGAAAGGTTGGGCATGAGGCTAGCAACCCCATCCTGTAAAATAAACGCTGCTACAGAAACTTCAAGCCACTATAGCTTGAAGCCCTATGTTCCACTGGGAACGTGAAGGAAAAAAATGATTATAACCACTCATCATTTTTGTTACTATCCCCGCTCTCATAAAAAATTGTATATAAATGTATGCCATTGCACAGATAGACAGGAAAATGAATCCCCGGGGAGAAGACCTTCCTCGCTGAACCACTGATCACGTTCTATTCAATAATACCCGGATAGGAATTATTCCCACTCTCTGGACGTGTTTGTTGTTACACAAAGGAGGTAGGAGGCTAAGGTGTTGTCAGCTGTTATTCTCCAATTTCTCTTCCTTTTGATTTTAAAACAATCGGATGAAATGACTACTGGTCCTCCTCTGCTGTTACACATTCCTATTCGCTAGCAGTACGGATTTCTTTCAGAGACCCTCAACATCATAAAAAACAACCTTAACCACGAATTTAACCACTTTTACCCTAAACGTTATGCTTAACATTACTTCCTGCTTATTTCTTTATTTAAACGCATAAAAACTTGGTACAATATGGCACCAAGAAGGATACGCCACACAATAATAATAAAACAACATAGATCAAAAGAAAAAAGAAAGAAGAGAATATATATATATATAAGTAGAGGACGGATAAAGAACTTCATCTGGAAGGAAAACAGTCATGCTTAACAAGTTCAAACAGTATTCGTTAACTATCATCACGAAGGGAAGAGAGAAGGAAATTGCAACACGTGTAATAGCACGCGATAAGTTTCATTGACTGTTTGTTGCTTCATTCAATTCATTGTGTGAGGGCTGAGATACTGTCCGGGAGCCCAGACCGAAGCAGGTGGTTTTATCTATGGACCACCCCCGAGCCTTTGACTTGGAGTTAATCCGCAAGACAACGGAGCAGCTTCAGAGGCTGCATTCTCATAGTTTCCGGTGACCCATATGGGTTCATACGCCATTTGATTGATTGGATACTGGAGCCCATGTACCCTATGGTAACAGCTTTTAGTTTTAACCGCTATCCAAACAACCTTCCTGACATGGTAGGACCTGCAAGGACAGAGTCCCAGTCAGTTTAGCATGTTGAGTCATTACGGTACTCAAGCCCGACCACCATATCCGGCTAGTGCAGATCGTCGGTTGGGTCACACTGTGATATATCAACTATGTCAAGGTAGCAGCAGCTGCCAGTCAGTCAGTCGGGTGACCACCAACCAGCGTTCAACTATCAATAAAAGGCGGAAATTGAAAAATAAATCAATAACTCACCTCTATGCTAGTCACTGTCGACATTTTTGATTCAAATAAACTTGATTCTGTTGTTGGTAAAAGTGGTCCATTATTAGATTTTTGTAAAAATTGTAGTAAAGCGTTTAGAATAGAATTATCACCTTGTGCTAGTTGATTTGTAGACTTTTCATGTGAAGATTGACGATAGTCATTCGTTGAATTGGTTGACAACATATCGTCAACTTCCATATCATCTAAAGTTAATTAGGAGAGAGACAGACAGACAGAAAAACATATAACATAAGAATGCATAAAAATCAGTAAGTGAGATAGGTTAACCCTTAACCTAATCGGCTTTACTAATGAAGATTATGTGCGTCGGTGGCACAGCGATGCAGCGCTTGCCAACCACAAAGGTGGTTCGGAGTTCGACCCCTAACTGATGAGGTACTCCTTTACCTCTCTAAACTAGTAATAAAACTGGTAAAGAGGAAAGGTTGAGCATGAGGCTAGCAATCCCATCCAGTAAAAACAAACACCACTGCTACGGAAACTTTAAGCCTGTACCTTGAAGCCGTATGTTACACACTTGGAATGTAAACGAATAAAAAAATGACAATTATAGATGATCTATAATAAAATAAAAGTTTGGATCACAGCACCACCATAGCCTTATTTATCTAATATTATTGCTGATAATGATATGACCTTGGGTTTTGATTGGAACATAGGACTTCACGCCAGCATATCTCCATTTCACCCTGTTCTCTGAAGCCCTCCTTTGCAGTCGGCTCTACAACTGCCCATAAACCTTCATCTCCTGTTCACACAATCTCCTCCATGTCACTCGTGGACCAAGTCTCAACTTATCGTTTTCCATTCAGATTCTACTCTATAACACATCACTTAGCAGTGGTCTCCTCAGCTTATGTCCAATCCATCTCCACTTGCCTTTGTATATCTGTTGGGTTACAGATTCTTGGTTGGTTCGTTGCTCGCCGGAGTTCTTAGCTGCTTATCTTTTCTAGCTATCTGGTCTTCAGTATGCAGCGAAGGCAGTTTTGAAGACAGCTTCATTACGGGATTTCATCATGTGCTGACACTGGTTAGAGAACCACTGGAAAACCTGGGAGTACTGGACAGCTGTTTCGTCTTAGTTTAGGATTACCCGGCTGTACGCACCCGCCGAGGTTCGAACCCAGGACCTTCTGATTACAATGCTAGCGAGCTCGTAGACCATTAAGCCAAAGTTAGAACTCATGGACCATTGGATTGGGTCCCAGTGGCTTAATGATCTACGAGCTCGCTAACCTTGCAACCAGAAGGTCCTGGGTTCGAACCTCGGTGGGTGAGTACAGCCGGAGAGTCCTAAACTAGGACAAAACAGCTGTCCAGTACTCCCAGGTTTTCCAGTGGTTCTCTAACCAGTGTCAGCTTATGATGAAATCCCGTAACCAATGAAATCCCTATAAACCAACACTTAAACAGCTTCATTAGTTGTACCGATTTAGATAATGTAGTTTAAACTATTAGATGAAAAACTCACGTCCGCCTGAATTTACTAATGCCGTAAAACGTGGGATTTAAGTATGTCAAATTTGTTTACAATCGATTAATATTCCTCCTTAGATAGTTATAAATAATGGGGTATGAAGTCTTGAACTTCGATTTCGTGCCGATTGGCACGTATCAACAAGATGTATCTGTGTCTCCAATGAACGACACCGGTTTGAGTTTCAAATGAGGATATCACTTCCTTTAAGGTCGCAGATTGCTTTTTTCAGAAGAAGGTCAACTGGACACGAAACCTAAGGTTTAGGGATTTCTACTGACTGACTGAGATCGTCTAACTTTAATTCCAGAAGTCCGCGACCACGACGAGTCTGCAGCCACTGGTTCTAAATGTCTCCAGATCACCAACCAGACAGTTCAGGCTTCATGTCAAAGACTTCATAGAATGATGCACTGTTTAGATTTTGCCATCCTTAACTCTTTACCAACCTTATCCTGCGTCAGCTACCAGTGCTCGTCGAGGAAGGTGACGGTTTTACATGTATAATACATGTCCTAGCCATTTCATTCAACGTGGTTTCAAAAGTGCACAGATCAGCTAAACAATTACATACTTGAAACTTCAATCCTCAATGAACTAGGATCACTGTACGTCAGTGGCACAGTGGTTAAGACTCTCGCCGACCATGCACATGGTCCGAGATTCGATCCCCTGCCGACGCACACCTGATATCTATGGTCCGTCTGCAAAATGTGGGCTACTGATATTTATGATGAAAATTCTATACTTGTACTAAAAATACAGTGTGGGATCAAGCTGTAATCAAAATCTTATATGTGTATTTAAATAAATACAATAGCTAGAAGATGTTACATAAGCTCTCGGAACGGAGTATACGCTGAGACTTCTTATATTCGTATATCGTTGCCTCCGTAGAACTGCTTAAGTCCAATGGCGTCATCGTATGAGTAATTCTGAGATCCATCAGCGTGTTTGGACGCGGTAGAGACGATCATTCATTGAGTGTCATCGTCATTTGGAAACACCGGCTTCAGTGGCTTGAACATGTACGCCGGACGTCATCCTAGAGGATTCCATACCGACGTGTCTGTTCTCTAGCCACCTGGGATTGGACTGAAAAAGCGAAGAGGTAACGTGGCATCGTGGAATGTCAGATATTTGTGTTAAGTTACCATCACATGATAGGTACATCACGACTCCCTGGTCGGGATCCGAAAGATAATTCCAATCGGTGGCTCGAAACGTTATCAGATATGGCGCCAAGAATTGCAATCATCAATGGCAAACATGCTGCAATTTCCCTCGTTCTTCTCAATTTCTGCACATACTGTACCAGGTTTGTGTTTTTGAACAGAATCCGTTAATTCCATGAAGTAGACATATTCATAGAAGTCTGAAGGTACTTAGTCAACTAATCAATCTCCAATGGTTTCTGATATTATCAGTAGTATAATAAGATTATTAGTAGTATATTCAGGGGTACAATTTCTCTAACACTTATATACCTAAGAGTGGATCATGATTGGAAGGAAAAACAATTGATCAATATTCAACTGTTCAATCAGTTCTTGCGCTACACATACATAATTATAGCAGTTGTTATAATTATAAAGAACCAATAAATATTAAAAGAACTACATAATAGACAAAATTTAATCTTTAATTTTAATTTCTCTTTCCTCTACTTTACTAACTATCTAGCTAACTATCTAACGAAATAAATATGCCGAGGAAACTAATGCCTGACTGCCTGCCTACCTGCCTGTCAGCCCACCACTTCATATCGATAGAAAAGAAAAAAACTAAGGTAAACAAATGAGAACAAACGAGCATATATTTAACTTCTATCAGTATGAGATTAGAGAAAATGAAAAAAGTAATCGATCAATGCATGTATACACTTAGCGAAAGTCATTAACTAGTGTGATCTCGTGCATGTTTACTCTGTGTATTTATTGCTTGCCTCAAATTATTATCAATCTATAAACTATTACAATTTTATTGGGTGGATGGTGAATACCAGTGGAATCCATCAGGATATGCACTTCGTCCTCCTCCTCCTCCTCCTCGTCCGCTGAATGTACCTACATTCCCCAATGAGTCAGTGTAATGGTGTCCCCCACCCCGATTGGGGCTCGAACCCAGTACCTATAATTTCAAAAGCCAAAGCGTTATCCACTAGACCACTTGTGCTACAACAGCCACCCCTTTCTTGTTATTATTTAATTCAAACTTCTGCTAATTCACGACATAGCGGTACCGCTAGCCAATGTCATCGCTGACGAGTATTTGTCCTCACATCCGACCTGCTGCACCCTACTGGTCACGCCTTCGACTAGAATCCAGGTAATTACCTACCTGAATAGGACCATTCACTAGTAAGCATCTCATTGATATTCAAGTATTGGTTTGTAGGGATTTGATTGAATGGCTACAGGATTTCATCATGAGCTGATATCGGGAAGTTGCGACCAGCAGGTCGGGTGTGAGGACGGAGACTCACCGAAGACATTGGCTAGTGGTCACGCAATATCGTGAAATGGTAGAAGTAAGAATTCATGGGCTGGCCACTGGATCGGATCCCACCGGCTTAATGGTCTACGAGGTCACCTTGTAACCAGAAGGCCGTAGGTTTCAACCTCAGTGAGGGCATACTACTGAAGAGTCCCAAAGTGAGAGGAAACAACTGTCCAGTACTCCCAGGTTTTCCAATGGTTCTCTAACCGATTTCAGCTAATGATGAAATCCTGTAACCAATCAAATCCCTACAAACGAATACTTGAATATTATTTAATCCAATCTGAACTTTTCCGTTGACTGATGGACTGGAAGTGCTCGGCCTTTGTTGACGCCTTGGCATATGAAACTATGCGTATTGGGTTCAAGCCTCAGTGGGAACACTATCACTGACTCACTGGGGAATGCAAGCACATCCAGTTGACGAGTCCCAGACAGGACGAAATGTGTCACATGATGGATTCCAATGCTAGTCACCATCTACCAAATTACTTTAGGTTAAATCCTCAGACACCGTTGAAGTATCTATCTGCACAAGAAACCGACATGTCAACAGAGGTGGAGAACCTCAGTCTAATCAACAAACAGGAATGTCCAAATTGAATTAAATATTACTATTGTTGTTGTTATGCATTTGGAGAAATAATTTCAACCAAGTTTGGTCAGGAGCTGACACTAGTCAGAAAGCCGTTGAGAAACCAGCAGGGAGTAGTGGACAGTGCTCCTTGGCTTCCCAATAGTTCTCTAGCTGATTCAGATAGATAGCTACTACCTTGACGTGGTCGTCCGGCTATCTCAATGACCCAACAAACTACACCGGTTGGAAGTAATGTTCCTGCAGGTCTTACAATGTCAGGAAGATTGCTTAGGTTAGCGATTAGACTACAAGCAGTGACCGGCATAGATATTTTTACATTATTCTGGGGGTCTGTGGGCAAAGTCGTACTGCTGGGGAATAAAGACTTAACAGCAGTAAGATGTTTCCCTGGTATGCCAGCCACTTATGATGCCTCTCCACTTGGGAGAGAGGGGGTTAGAAAAACAAGGCTCCAAATATTGTACATCCCGACTTACCCTACGGTGGTCCGTAACAGGTGGTAAATTAACTAATACGGGACCAATCCAAGAAACCAGTTCACACAGGCCATGTGTGACCGGCCTCAAGCAGTTGTCCCTTGGATTCTGCGGTCACGCAACACTAAC